GCGGGCTGGCGGCGGCGGCGGGGCCTTCCGAGAAGCCACGAGCCAAGCGTTCTCATCTGCGTTGCTCGGTCGTGTGCCACGCCCACTTCCCGAAATCGTCCGAATCCCTGGCTCGGTGTACGCTCACGAAACGTCTCGTTTCACAAACACTCGCTAATGAGATGTGGAACCATCATTTCCTTATGAAAGCCGCGGAAAATATTTCTTTGGAACACTTTTCCTTTGAATAACGTTTATCCTTAGAATGTCGCACATTCATCTTCATACGATACATTCATCTTCAATCCCTTCAACATCTTCTCTTACACTTTAACTGAAATGATTTAGGTACTGAATGCAGTACATTATTACAGAAGTTCTGCAATAACCGTGTTGTTCACGTTCCGTTTCTAAACGCTCAGAAAAATATATCGCCAGCTACCTTTTCAACTGGTACCAAATAATGCCACAATAACTAACAAAGCATCATAGTTTATCTCTTCACCACAAGGCAATCGACGCGAGCACCACGTAGACACTCTAGATCAATAAAATCGTCCTTCAACGCAATCAATGACACTAAATGGATTCGATTACTCCTATGTCACAAAACTTAATTAATCATTAATATCTCAAAACAATCAGCAGAGTGCAAAAATGGGAGAAACGAAACACATTCAACAAAACCGCTGTTGTCGTTTTCCTACTTCAACAAATTTTCTACAGATGGTATCTCTAACCATGGAATCAACTCTTCCAAACAAGAGCCACCTACACGCCCAATACACTGATGAGAGCAGTTACTGAAAACGACGAGCAAAGTCTACACGTCTCAAAAGAATGAATATTACCAAAATGAGCAAATGAATATTCCGGATAGAATAGAATGTTTTGTATAAACATATATATATTCCATTCAATGTCCAAATTATATATATCCATATACACCATTCAATGTCCTGTAGCTATATACATTTTGTTTTAAAAAATCCTATAAATATTGATTTATATTAAAAAATGTATGAAACAAATCCCAAACTCGCATATTATTCTATGTTGGTATACTTGTCATTTAAATATAATGGGTTTATACGATAGTTTTCAGCATATGAAAAACTATTCCATGCACAAAACCTCAAACGGTATTCTAATACGCTAACTGTACTTTACAAGGAAATGATTACGCCATAATGGATTAGCATGTGGCAAAATGGTATCGCTAAAGATCATTTCATTTCGTATTCCTAATACTTCAAACAAAAGGTGATGAATTATAGTAACCATACAAGGGAAAAGTTTTACATCAAGACTCCGGGTATGGGAAAGCCACTTCAGTTGTTCGCTGCAATTGAGACTAGTGAAATTTGTCACCGAAGTCCACGGGCTGAGAGAGTCCTGACTCGCTACTTAGATTCAATAAAGACACGGTTTGTAAACGTGCCATCGTCGGCAGAAAAAATGAAAAAAATACTACTTTCGAAGTATTTTGAGGTAAAACCAAACCTGTATTCCTATCACCCGATTATTTCACCATGTTTTTTTATTAACCATTAGAATTTTCCTTCGCTTTCGAAACTCCCATTACATTACACATTTGCCTTCTCTACACAACCGTTCACAGATCCTTTCCTCTTTCCTTCATCGCAAACCTTTAGTCACCTCATTGCAATTGTTACACATATATCCTATATTTTAAGTGACAGATTTGAATTTTGGACTCATAATAGGATTTTTAGGCTCTAAAAATTAATTTAGGTACTTAATTATGAATTAGACAGCATCAAATTACACGACATTTTTCCTCAAATTATAATTAACTTCAAACTATCTTTTTCACTCTTCTCCTGCAGAGGGCGGCCAGGGTAATCTGGAATTAAATGCGCTTCAGTCCGAATTCCTGTTCAGGAAATCTTTCGAGTTCATTCCCCGCGGTTCAATTACATCATATGGTCATTTTATGCTTTTGCGAGGGAAATAGACACCTTTAGCCACTTTAAAAAGTAGTTGCTCTTAAAGACATAAAACGTGTTCCTAATTAATTTCGAGAATCTACGCCAGAAGAGTACAATAGACATAGGTACTGAGGCGGATTATCAAACACGAAGTGATGAAAATAAGAGCATAATACATAAAATCAGCTCTTGGACCATTCGAGTTCAGTGATTTTCTCTGTTACTTCAGAGCATTTCCAACGGCCTTCAGTATAAGTGCGAAGGGTCGGAACAAACTCTCTACTCTGTATTTGCTGCACAATGATTTTTTTAAATGTATGGCACAAAATAAGGTATTTATTTTTACAGGAACGGCTCAAATAAAAGAGATCTTGCCAGCCGACGATTGTCAGTTAGAAGAGCGGGCCTGATGGCCACGTAAAATATCCACGTCTACCATCTCGCCACGTAAAATAAGGTCTGAACTAAACTACAATGTTCCATGATGAGGGGGATAAGTGAGATCATGAGCGGTCCGTGGCCTTTAGTATTAAGGTGCTACTCCAGTATTCGATTGGAAATGGTCAGAGCAGGTCAGGTTCGATTGAAATGGTCAAACTGCCGATCAGAGCAGTCGACCTACGCACTAGATTCTGTATTTCCACCATGGAGTCCGGCGGGGAACACAAACTCGCCAATCGAACCGGCCATTTCGATAGTAAGGCATCATCTTAACCAGGGTGGAAAGCTACCAATCTGGCATGAGGATGATAAAGATAATTAAAACGTTGGGTAAAATAAAGTCGCAATGTACCTTATAAATTGAATAATGTATAGTCAACAAATAATGGATCATAACAAAATGAAGTACACTTGATGTTAAATACATTTTCACACATTAAAATACTACAGAATCATCTTAACTCAATGGAAACAATCACATATTTCCATAAGATCTGAAACATTCCGCTCTACACAAATACCTCCATGATATTTACAGAAAAGCAAGGCTTCGTTTTGGAAAATTGGTGACTGTAGTTCAGGAAATTGAAGATGGCAAGGAAAATTATAAAATCAATCTGGGGAGGGGGAAGAAAGAGGAAAAGTAAAAAAATAGAAATTTAACAATTCGCTACAACTGTGTTTGAGTGAAAGACACAAGGGCAAAAACTAATTCACAAAGCTGTCTTAGCTTTTTTTCATTGCAACAACTACAAAAAAAGCCTGAAAAATATTAAACAATTAATATTAATACTCGGAAAATTATGTTTCAGCAAGTGTACAAGTACAGATTAATGCTAGAACAATAATTTGCTAAATTCTTCACTAATCCTCTAAATTCATTCTTAAAATATTTGATTTTCCTAATTTTTTCTGTCCCTCAATTTTTGTACATCATTGTAATATCATTTCAGTGATAAAAAAGACAAAAATAAATGCAAGATATAATTAAAATTGAAGAAATTAAATATGCTCATGGATAATTAAATTCAATTTCCTGAACATTTTGAAGCCGAGGTTCTTAAGGTCAGTTTTCAAAGAATTTTTAGTTAATTTCTGAGTATTTTTTCTTTATATCTTTGTTGATATTTTGTTTCATGACTGGCTTATCTCTAATATAACTCTTCTTGATATTTATTTGTCTCTGTTATAGTTAACAACATTATTCAGAAAGTTTATTTTGTTCCATGATAATGCAGTTTTCTATAATGAATAAAACCCAGTTGTATATCCCAAACTGTGCAAGAATATTATTAAAAAACAAACTTCAATTTAAGAAGAATCTGAAATTGAATCACAGATTTTATTTATCCACCAGTAATAGTTTTAAGTTGAGGAACATTTTAAAAAATATAAGAAAATATTGTAACTTTATTATGAAATGTGAGACTGCATGTTCTCTGATAAGGACATTTCAGAAAATTTCATTGTATTACACATTTCACTCTTTATTAAATTCAATCATGTCTTGCTAGAAGAGACATTAATGCATGAAATAAAATAAAGATATTACTTCTCTTAATCTGATACCTGACTATCTTTAGGTAAAATAAACAATAACAACAAATGAGCAACACAACTGACTTCTCTCTAAACTATCTCCACAACCTGTTTTTGTACAAAATTGGCAAACTTCATAATAATTAGCCATATTAATGTATTACAAATTTTGTAAATGATGAAATTTATAGGGGAATCACAAATACATTTAAGATCATAACAGAAAATCACAAGGAATATTTAATTGATTATAACTTAATGACAGTAATAAAAAGACAATAATATAAAGGTACAAAAGAAGAGTGATGCAATATCTTCCATTATCCCTTCCAAGAATGAACCTATACAAAAAAACTTTCACAACATTCAAAACAATGTACTGTCTTTAAAGGTGAAAATTTTTCGATATGAACTTTGTTCGCGAATTTATTATAGATACACATGAAGATTCATTCTAAAATTCATAATTCACTTATTTTGATCTTCATGCGAGTGGCTTAGGGTGCACCAACAACATTTGCAATTTGATATTTTGTCTCAAACTATCAACTTCATGGCGGGTAACGTCTTGTTTTCATTCCATTCCCTCAAAATAATGCGATGTAATATTCACGGGTTACATGAATGATAGTAAGCCTGATATGAAATCGGTATGACATATTCAACACAAACACGCACGAAAAGATGCAACCGGTTAATCCTGGATCCTGGGCGTGTTTTGTGTTGTCAATCGGTTGTGTTTACATATTGATGACACGACATACAATATCTTGGAACAAGTACCATATACCACCTATTTCTGAAAAGGCATTCCCAATAACGAGGGAGATGTTTCAAAATGATGTAATCAACTCAAGCAAAAAGTGACATTTGACGACACCACCACCTAACCACATTCAACGCTAAGTAAATATTCAAAATTACTCACCCTTAAAGAACTGACACACGTAGAACACGTGCAAAGGCCAATCTGGGAGTACTTTTACAAAAATTTTTACAGTAACAAGGGACTGTAATCACAAAAATTTGCGCCTACTGGCGCCGTCCAACAGCTGGCGTTCGGACGCTGGGACGTGACCACATATTTACGTTCGCCCGCCGATGAAAGCGTTACTGGTGGACAAATCAAGAACAAGAAGGTATAGAGGAAGTATCCTGGGAAAATAACAAATAAAAGGTGTAATGCGTGCGGATACGGAATGTATTTAGTTATTTAATAATTGCGAGTAATAATACAATTCGTAGTGGAAAGATACTATTCAGTTTAATGATATTATTTCTAACGTCCAAATACATACGTTTGCCTGTATAAAATTAATTTAATTTGTAATTGAAATAATTTACAAATCAATTAGAAACTTCAATCATTTGGATATAAACGTGGAGGCTTAAATATCAGTTAATAAAATGAAAGTTGTTTAATATTAAAGAAATAGAAAATATATTGTTTATTTGCAAAAAAATGATCATAAGATTAGAATAAAAATTAAGGAAATCTTCATTAAAAGTATATTATTAATTTTATGTTCTCTCCATCTGTTGCATATAGTTTTTATTATTCTTGACTATATATAAATTTAAAATATAAATGAATGCTTTTACAATTTAAATGCCCAAACACAAATTCAAATAATAAGTTCCGTTTATAAATATTAATATTTTCAATTGAGAGTTAATAGCACAAACAATTGTGTAAGCATAACCACTCATTTACACACTTGTTTTTGCACAATTCAGCAAACTAAAATAACTCCATCTGCATTCATGGAAGCTGTAAATCATTAACTAAGACACACTTCTGATATTCCAGAAACAAAACTTCTTTTTTTTTGTATTGTTTTTATGTATTTTCTAAATTATGCAAATTAGTGTTGAAGCACATGATATAAATTTGCAAAATACTGGACTTCAATGCTTTTAGCAAGGTAAATAATTATCAATAAAACTAAAAGCAGCTAGCTCAGAGCCATTTTGATTCATTTGATGTCATTCGTTGTTGCTGAGTCATGCAGTTTTGACTATTTCTTAGATAAATAAATATATTTAAGCATCAAGCAAAATCTGTATTTCTAAATAAATTTAATTCATGGAAATTAATACTGTTTAATATTGCCTTGCACTATTAATATTCATCTTGTGATATTAAATCTAATTGCCTGAAAATGTGTATAATATAAAAACACTACTTATAAAAAATACAAACAAAAAATGGATAATGTGAGACATAGTAGGCTACTTCTCAAATATTTGAAATTCAAATCATGGTAAACACAAAGTTTATTAACTTCAATTAGAACTGCAGGCTGACTTCTTCCCATCTATCAGAAAACTACAATTCCAAAAACAAATTGCATTTGAATGTAATCTTTTATTACTAAATTTCCAAAGTACACAGAAATTCCAAGAAAACTATGCAGTTTCTGACCATGTGAGATATATTTTTGGTTTGTTAGATTCTCAGGAACTCGGAAAAAGAAAAAAAATGTTATTATTAATTTTAATTTAACACAGAAATTGAAAAGAAACTGTGCATCCTTAGGCCATGTGGGAGATATCTATTGTCTTTGTTAGATATCCAAAAATTTAGGGAGGATCCCAAAATAATTAAAGTTTTGATTTTGACTGCAAATTTTTTTTTTTTAGTTTTTTCTTTTTCATACACTGCAAGTACTGACTGAATTCTCAAACTCATACGTCTCTGCTTACAACATACCATGCATCTCCAGGGCTCTCTGGAAGAGGTAACATGTAATTTGCTTCTCAAGTGTTGGAATTGAAGAGGGATGTTTTTTATATTATTGATGGGGAAAGAATTAGCGTACTGTATACCAAAACATGCTACTAGATATCCATGAAGACTGTTTTTGTTAAAATATTTAATTTATTACAAAGTTGTATGACAATATTTAGTTTTTCTTGAACAGTGTGTGAACTACTTTTTGGAAAACCTTTTTGGGTGGTTTTGCTCAGCAGCATCTTTATTTCTGCAGGCCACTAGTTTATAAATTTGTTCCAATTTTGGAATTGAATTTCAGTTCTCTCTCTTCCCCACCCCCAAAGCCAAGGGCATTTATTCACAAATATAATATTTACCGATTTTCTTTATCAATACCTCAATTGAACATGCTATAAACAACTAAAATTAAAAAATTAAAGTTAATTTTAAACTTCTTTATAAGAAAATGAAATCAGCAGGTAACTACACTTATATCCCTAATATTACACTCCATCTCAAACAATCCTGGTTGCACCATTAATATTAAGTAATATTTACATGAAGGGTTTGGATCCAAACTATGCTAACCCACATGGAAATGTTTTCGGCACAAAAGCAAGTGAATATTAAGGTTTAATAAATTAAAGCAAGATATGTAACAAAAAACAGCTACCAGGGAGTACCTGAAAGACATAAATTAAACTCTGATATCACACAGCAAGAACTGAAGTATTTGGCAAGAAGAAAAAAAAAAAGAAAAGAAAAACAAAAAAGAGACCAATGCAAAACAAAATTATAACAAACAAACCTCAATTTTGTGAGGTATCCTCCTTTATGCTCAAGCCTTTTATGTACATGTTTTCAATGAAATTTTAACTTATTTCTTGTAAACATTTTATTTCAGAGATATTATGTATGTTTATTTAATATTTGTACTCCTTACCCTTGCATACACTTCTAAGTTATAACATAGACTGGAACTCTTGGTTCTTCTTGTTTTTCCTAGTTGCAATATTGTATTTGAAATCCTTTCATTGTCATTTGAGTGAAAAAAAAGTTGACTACCATTATCTACAATTGGCAGTTTTGTCAATCATAATGTTACATACTGTTCGCATGAATTAAAATAATATATAATTTACTAATTATAGAATTTTTAATTGCAAATTATACAGATTTTATTTAGAAACTGTTAATTATATAAATGGTATTGTCTTACTGAATTGTAATTGTAAATGATATTTAATGCAGTCTTTTTTTGTCATGATATATTATATTGGATTGTTATTGATGTGTACCGTATCACTTTGTAATACAATAGGACAAAGTGGATGAATGTATTTGATCACAACTTGTGGGAAGACTAAATATAAATCTTTTGTTGTTGATTTAAACATATTGCGGCAAAGATTTATGAGCAAGATGAACTCTGCAAAGCATTGTAAAATTAAAGAACATTGCACAGTATTTACTTAAATATCCACTGACCAGAAATTCAGATTGCTGTGCTGTTAATTTAGTTCTAGGATGGCTAGTAAGAAATAAGAAAAAGCTTCACAATGTATTTTTAGAACCGTTTTATTTTTGTTATATTGCTATTTTTTACTTGAATTTAGTAACTAATCTTAATAGCATTATTACATTTAATATAATTTGAATATCAAAACATATATTTTTAAACAGGAACAAGTGAAATCTCACCCAAACAAAGCTAGCTTATCAGCACCAGCTTTGAGGAACATACATAAGGTCTGCACAACTCACAAGGGAGAGAAGTATTGTTAGATCTTAATGGTGCAAGAAGAGAGTAGCAAGTAATAACAAAACAGAAAACAAAAACAAAGATTAGCAGACAAATTCTGTACATAAATATTTTATTATATATAACATTATTAAAACAAGAACGTGAAACTAACACTTTTATACAGCCTGCAAATCATCAACAACTTTGTTTCTGAAATTAAAAAGAAAGAAAAATATTCACACAGTATCTGGCATTTATCATACAATTAAATATCAACTCAAGGATTCAATACACATAAATTAATAAAGAATACTTTGTAAATTAAAGTAGGCAAAGTGGATACACAACTCATTCTCATTTCCCTTTTAGAAATGCTTAAGGGCCAGAGAGTAATGATTTGCGAGGTATAAGCGGCCCTCAAGCATACATTGTGCAGACCTATCAAAAATACACAAACACGAACACATGTAGTTGCAAACACATACAAACACAATACAAGCAACACATGTGCACATACATACACACAATCATGCAAGATCACACATATGGGTGTGTTCAAACCCTAATATGTTAAGAGAAATAAAGTTATCTCCATCACATCTCAAAAAATTTAAGAGAATATTTGATGGCAAAAATATCTCAATTAAAAATCAAAATTTCTAATGAGAGGTTGGGCTTAATAAGAGACAGAGGACAAACACTAAATACTCATTAAACATGTAAGATGAGTAATTATAAATAACAATAACAACACAGAGGTTCCAATAATACATACGTAATAAAATTATACATAAACAGTAAATGCATTAAATTACAGTGAATTGAATTACACTGGGTACTTGTGCAGTTACCTCATTTTGTCTTGCTCCTACAGGTCGTATTCTGCATTGGCAACTAATAATTAACATAAGCAGAAAAATGTGATTGTCATATGCAGAACACGTTTACTTGCTTAATATCCTAAAATGAACCTCAGATTATTTTCCACAAATTGTAAGTATTTTTAGAGTACATTGTACTACATAACCTAATTATTATAATTAATAAAACATTGCATTGCATTTAAAAAAGAGTAATCACATTAGGGTAGAGAGATCAGCAATTCTCTGGCCCTATACTTGACATTTTTTAGCACACCAAAATATAAGTATAAATATATGTGTGTAAATTTTATTAAAATAAAAATATAAAAAATAAATTTGTTAACAGATTGAAAGAAATAATTTACATTGGATATGTAAACATTGTAAGATGGCCAGTTGTTGGTTTTCTACACTTTTTTAATGTCTGAATCTCAAAAACTGATTCAAATGACAGGAATCATTAAATATAGGTTACAAATTTAATTTCCTTGGGGTTATATGGATCATTCCATTAACATCACAATTTATTAAAACTGCAACACACCCAATATGATGGTGTTTCTGTAACAATAATAAAAAGTTCTTCAACTGCATAATGGTTTGTTTTAGGAACTATGTTTATAGGAACTATACTTGAATAAACCAACACTTCATGCTCACAGTTTGAAACCCCATTTTTGCAAATATACAAATTAATTTTAGAACACTGAGCGTTTACAAAAGTAACAACACAAAATACTCTATTACTTTGTAAGAGTTATGCATAGCAGATTTTTCTTACGAGTTATATGTGTCCTCCAAATCTGAAACCCCCTGTATACATCCAGTATAT